CCCCAGTCAACAATGTCCGGCCCGCCACCAGAGAAGGGAAAAGTTATGTGGCCCTCACAGGATAAAGTTTGGGGACCCCTGCCGTAAAGCCTAGAAGAGCCGCTCACTGTGAAATGGAGGAAATTATACAAAACATGAATTTTCAGCCCAATCCTGGAAAGTTAAGTTTCAAACTAAGCTAGCAGCTGTGTGGGAACTGCAGGGGTCTCAGCAGTGCTGATGTCTGTCCTCTGTGTCCTGTGAGGCTGAGCAGAGCAGCTGTCAGACACAGCAGTGAAAATCCTAAATACTCCCACTGCATGGAGGCGTGTCTCTGGTTGCTGAAGGCTTCTGTCTTGTTTTCGGCTGCAGGCTAACCCTGAGCTAGCAGCTATCTGGGCCGTCGGCCAGCGCATTTGGCAGAGAGACTTCCCGGGGATCTACACGGCCATCGCAGCCCACCAGTGGTCCGAGAATATCCTGCCTGTCATGGAGGTCCTCAGAGGTAACTTCATGCAGGAAAACACTTCAGCATATCAGACACATCACTGAGCAGCTGCTACTCAGCTAGCTGCAGCGTTAGCTACAGCAGCTAGCTGCAGGGCTAGCCTCCTGTCTTGGCACTGTGATCTCGGGGTTTTCTCCTGGAGATGTCAGCAGGAGTTTATTGCGTCCTGAGTGATTGTGGCGCTGTTGTTGGTTGTGCAACAGTTTAAAATAACTTCTCTGGATGTTGATCTGTTGTTGATGTCATAAACAGAGTTTCATCAGACGGTTTGGTAACAGCTGGCAGCTCTAATAAAACTGTTCAAGTAAACATTTGGATTTGTTAATGTTACAGTTTCTGTTTAACTTGTTCCACAGTTTGACTCGTTTCAGACGTTTGAGGATTTTACTTGTTGATCATCGTTGTGTTTCTGGAAGGATGACCTTCATCTAAACTGAAGGCTCCCAGGTTGTTGAGCAGCAACAGTTGCTCCTCTGAGGTTGTTGCTGATGCCTTTCTGCCCTGGCGTTGTGCTAACTCACCTGTAGACGCCACAGCAGCAGTGGACACGCCTCCGCTGATCTGCTAACAGTGGAGCTAATTTATTTTTAGCATTTTTTCTAACTTTGAGAAAGCTTAGCAAGGTTAGCTTCCCCTCAATACATTTTTCTGGATAAATTCTAAAGCTCTAATTTACCTGGCTGTTTTTAAACTTTCAGATGAATGAAGTTCAACATTTGTTTTGAAATTTTGCTTATTGACTGTTTAAAATCCTTTCTACTCATGCTCTTATTTTGAAGTGGGTGAAGTCTGATTACGCAGACGCTTTGTTTCCTCACGTTCTCCAGCCATGATGCGTCGCAGGAAATGACGTATATCCTGAACCCAGAATGCATTGCTGTAGTTCTGTTGTTAACATTTTAAAATGTCCTGATATTCTGCGCAGTTTCTAACTGTAGTCCTGGTCAGTCAGGTTAAATCTACCACAGAGTTAGCAAAACTCAACAACTATAAACTGGGTTAGGGTTGTTGGATCGGTCGGTTGTAGTTGGATCGGTCGGTAGTTGTTGGGATCGGTCGGTTGTAGTTGGATTGGTCGGTTGTAGTTGGATCGGTCGGTAGTTGTTGGATCGGTCGGTTGTAGTTGGATCGGTCGGTTGTAGTTGGATCGGTCGGTTGTAGTTGGATCGGTCGGTTGTAGTTGGATCGGTCGGTTGTAGT